GCTACTCTTCCTGATGCTTGTGGTGCCGTGGTAGGTACAGTAGTGGTGGTGGTTGTCAACACGGGACGCTTGCTCGAACCATTGACCAAGTTCCACAGATCGTGAACTTTCAACATTCGGGTAGCAAGGTCCCTCCATACAGTGTAATGGCCTTGACCATCCAGCTTGCATGGGAGTGCGGGAATTTTAATGCTCCTCTCAGACATGATTGAAAGTGAAACGAGAAAGTGTACTTTGTGGTAAAAATGGTGAAGAGTGTATAAGCGTCAGTGGTCTCCGGGCTCATAACCTAGAGAAAGTATGTAGGAGAAGTAAAGTAATTGATCGTGTTGATTGTGCTAGCTAAGGGGGAATGCCCCGTATTTATACTAAAGAAAGGTAGTACAAAAGAGATACAATGAGTCATGGACGTGTGAGTAATAGAATGACTAATAGGAAAGTGAGTCATACGCCGATGACGAATACTATAATGAAATGATGAGAATCTTCCAGAACTATGAAACGTGTCGAGCACCCTATTTCAAGAAGCCATGCCCCGAATGTTGGAGATTTTTTGCGAAAACTCTCTCATGCATTAGTGTGGTCTATCCAGGAAATAATTGACACCATATCGTGAGAAGTCTTTGGAACATCAGCATACTCCAAAGACATGTAAATGCGGCGCGCTGCTTACCCGGACCTTTTCCCGCCTGGGTTCAGGATCACAGTATGGTATTTATGCATGAGAGATATTTCGCAAAACGTCTCGAACATCTAGTGGATAGGGTATAGGGAGTAGCGGTTAGGTTATGTCCCGAACTAAAGCGTGGCATTAAGATCGTCGATAAAGAACAATAAAATTGAGAATCGGTCGATCAGTTCAGGGCAGGGACATGGTCATCTAGTAGCGGTCTTTATTATTGATTTAATTATGTAAATCAGCTGATCTGCGACATGTAGTCTCAAGACCTGACTGCACTGTGCCTTATGTAATTACATGTAGGTACATACTTATATAATTCTTGGCCGTCACTGTATTTACGTACACTGTACTGCATGCATGCAGCTAGGTAATCACTATTTGCAAGCTTACATAAGTGGTATACATATTCCCTGTCGGAAGAAACATGTACTATTTCTCACCAGCACATATCTATGTATGTTTGTGATGCGTTGTCGCTATCTAGGGCTTAAAATATCTACTAGCTATACCGCATAGGTATCTGTAGGTACACACTTAATTTCGCGCCCATCAACAGGTAGGTATTGATCGTATTATAGTACCGCCATAACTAGAAGAATTGGCTAGATCAGAATTACTTGTATGGGATACTTCTGATGTAGATCGATGCCATCCAACCAATTATTCAAGCGGTAGTCCCTGGACGGGGGTAGCCAATTAATTTTTCAAGTTTTGGCGGTATTCTCTGACAAACTCTGGTAGCGTTACACAGCGGCCATCATATGTCTCTAGCTAGGTATGGCGTAGCGCTGTACCTACTCACTCTTGACCCACCTAGATATAGATCTATGTGGCACGGATATTGGCGGCGCTTCCCTATCATATATATGTACGTCTCCTGTGGTTTAAATTCACAAATGGCGGGTATTGATTGGCCAACAACCTGTCCAAAGGAAATGAAGGAATTGGGCTACGTCTTGGAGTTTGGATACTAGTGAACAGGTCTCATGATCGAAAAGAAGAAAAAAAATTAAGGAAGGCCTGAAGCTATTATGGTACTTACAGCCACTCAGCAAAAGTGTTCATGATATGGTTTTAATGTTAGTGCGCAGTGTGGCGCACCCGTAATACTAATGTTATTAAAGTTGAGATTCAAAACAACGAAAAATATATAATATAGTTTGTGACTATATATAAAAAGAAGATAGGTTATTGATCTTATTCTTCATTGATTTGGGCGCCATTGGTTGGGAAAGTCTTCTCTTGGGGGGTACTGGATGGTCCGCCGCGGTTGCATATGGAGAAATGTCTCACTCCGAAATTGGAATCACGAACACTTTTGCAGAGGGCTGTAGATTAATTAAACGTGGGCCTGACAAACGAACTCTCACAACCCGATTTATTCACAACCAAATCTTTTACTCACACTAGCTATGTTGACTAATTTCTCAGTTTAACACGGTTCGGTCAGGCGAAAACGTGAACACTCGATCTTTAGGCCAACTCTTGTACTGCGGTATATACATGTAGGTACTCTACTAGTACATTACTGGATCCTCCGGCGACTGAATGGCAAGTCTAGGAGCACATTAAAATTTCTGATATCAAGTCCCCCTCCTACCTACATAGCGCTACTAGTGAGGACCCCTCCGCTGAGCTCAGTTCCAATTAACTGCTAGTTTGGGGTAGATTCGTATTGGGCTGAAGGTCCCTGTTGCCAAGCGATTCGGCTAGGGGAAGACAGGCCGAGACAGGGAGTTTGCCCAATCAACAGTAGCCATCGGAATAAGCATAAACTAAGTGCAAACTCTAATATTAGCTCAGCCTCAATCTAAACCTGTACATCGATCGTTAATGCACCACTTGAGCTTAATCCAAGAAAGGCGGCACTCTATGTACCTTTTTTTTTTTTTTTTTTTTATATCATGTAGTTTTAATTGATTCTAGGTACAAAACACTGCATGCAGTCTTATACTATGGCATAAAAATACCTCTCCCCGACTTAGAAAATAAATTCCACAACCCCAGATGAACAAAGGAAAACAATGAAAAAGAAGCAAAACATTAACAATCTGACTGGTTGACTGCAAAGAAAAACCGCTTTGGCGGCCCATGTCCGACATAAGAAATCTTCCTGCTGGTTTCAAATAACCTGTTGCCCCTTGAGGGTCTTTTGTGGGTGCGGAGTACCCTGATTTGGGTTGGGTTTTGCGGTGGCTAGGTGGTGGAGTGGGGGGAGCTGAGCGTGCTTGACACCTCAGATCCGGACAATAGGGGGGAGATATGTTCCTTTCTGGGGAAGTTCGTTTTGGTGGTGGTGATGAAAGCTCCTAGAGCTAGTGAGTTGGTGCGGTCGTTCCAGATCTCTTCAAGGGTCTTGATTCCTGGGAGGAGTTGGGCGCGTTGGGTTGCCTTTGCTCGGCAGACGAGGATGGCATGCTCGGTGGTTTCAGGGCCTTCACCGCATCTGTCACACTTATCGGGGAGGTGGAGGTTGAGCCAGGATTTGTGGCCTCTGAGGTAGCTTTTTTGGACTCTCATTTGATGGATCCGGGTAGCCGTGAATTTATGTAAGTCCATAAAGCACTCGGGGCTTGTGGTGAGGGGGAAGGAGTAGTAGGGGGGTGTTGGGAAGTCGTGTGCCCAATTATCTAGCATTTGTTGTTTTGCTAGCTTTGGGAGGAGTTTGTGATCTGTTCCTCTTGTGACTGGATGTTGGAGGAGGTAGCAAAGATGTTCGATGGAGAGGTGGGCCACCCCCTTTGTTGCCGATGAGTTCCACTTTTTGGGTGGATTAGGGCGGCCGCGGAGGAGTCGTGTGTGGGAGGGAACCCTGTCGGGGGTCAGGGTGGGAAAAGAGGGGTGGCAGCGTCCTGTCACAGGGTTGTTGAGGGGGTGAGCGAGTAGGATGCGGATGGCATACTTTGTTTTTAGGTAGTGGATGTAGTTGATGAGTGGAGGGCAGTGTGCTTCGGCCCAGAGGACACGCTGGTTGGTCGCTCTAAAGCAGCCGGTGGCCCATCTTAGTACCGAGTTCCAGAACTTATTCATGGCCTTGAGGGAGCTGGTGGGGGTTAGGACGGATGCCCCGTATGTGAGCATTGGGCGTATGGCTAGAAGGGCAATTTTCCTACAGTTGGATGAGGAGAGGCCTTTGCCGGGGGAGGAGAATCTCTGAAGGATTCCGAAGCTGGCCTGGGCGGAGGCTAGCCGGCGGATGAAGTGGGTGTTTGGGTTGAAGTTTGGGGATAGCCAGAAGCCAACCCATCTGACTTGATGTCCTGGGTGGAAGGCCTGATTATCGAGGGTGATGGGGAGTGTGCAGATCGGCGCCTTGTCTTTGGGGGTACGCCAGTGCATGAGTTCGGTCTTGGGGATTGAGAAGGTGGTGTTCTGGGCGGCCGTGATAGTCGTGATCGCCTTGAAGTGTTATTCGACGATGTGGATGTTCTGTTGGTAACTGGGGGAGCCCACAGTTATTGCGAAATCATCAACGTAAGAAAGGGTGAGCCCTGGGGAGGGATCGTGGAGGTGGAGGATGTTCATATATATGACGAAGAGTAGAGGCGATATGGGGGAGCCTTGGGGAACTCCGACTTGGACGGGGGTTGGGATTCTTGAAGAGCCTTTGTAGAGGAGGGTGATGTGCCTGTCTGAGAGAAACGAGAGGACCCAGTTAATGATGTAGGGGGGGTGGCTTTGGCCGCGAGGGTGGAGGCAAGGGTATGTTTGACGACATTATCGAAGCCTCCCTTGATGTCGAGGAAGAGGGTGGAGACTTTTAGTTTGGCATGTTGCATGGCTTTGGTCTCGTGGAGCAGGGTAGCGACTGCATCGGCTGTGGAGAGGCCGGCTACTGATCCGCATTGGTGGGGGTGGATGAGACCTACCGCCTTGGCGATAGATGCGAGGCGAAGGGTGACGATCTTCTCGAGTATTTTGGAGAAGGTTTGGAGGAGGACGATTATTCTGTAGGAGGTGGGAAGGGAGTAGTCGGCTTTGTTCGGTTTTGCCAGAATAACTCCGTTTGCCTTTTTGAGGGAGAGGGGGTGGTAGCCGCTTTTTAGAAGTGGGTTGAGGAGCGCGGGGACACTCTATGTACCTTCCCACCTATTTACATACATCATGACTCTATCCACTCTAGAAGTATGTACCAACAAGTATGTGTACCCATGGCAATTCTCATCCGTGAGTGGGATATATTCTCCTCCTGCCCTCCCTCTTTCTCTGCCCTACCACCCCTTAGTCTCCCCAAAGCCCCCCTCCCCGGCCCCCTCCCCTGCCCCACCAGTCAATACCGTAGGTGCACTTTTTGTGCCCTCCACTCCTCGATCACAACATGAAGAAGTACACTTCTCTCCGGAGCTCTCGGTCGAAACAATGGCAACCTATACCCCTACGGCCTTTTTTTCTTCTCGCCTTCCTGGTCCTCGTGTTGATCATTATAATCGGGATTCAGCTCTTGATCACGCAACCTATCCTGATTGCTCCAGCTTTCCTGTTTGAATATATCCCCACAACGGTCCCCGTTGTCTTGAGCCTATTATGGGCTTTCTCTGCGCATGACTTCAAGCGCCTCGAGCCCTTCTTCCAGCTCTCCTCGCCCACAGGGGCCCTAGCAGAGGATTCGTTGCTCTTGGACTATTCTTACATGTTCATTCTTTCTGTCCCCGTCGTTTCCCTGCGCAAAGGGTATGTATTATATTAGCGAGCCCCCACACCATTACCGCCCTGCTTCCACATTGTGAGTTGGAATATTGACTTGTCGCCTTAGCCACTATGCCATCTTCTTATCTTCCATCATCATGCTTCTTCTGACTACTCTCATCACTCCCTTCTCCTCCGGCCTCTTCGACATTAAAAAGGCTAATGTGGATGCTCCCGGCAATGTCCCCTACCTTGACATCAACCCTGAACCTGTTTTAAACTCGGCTGGGTTTGCACACTCCGTATACGCCTACTCATTTCTCAATGGCACGCTCCCACCCTTTACGACACCCGATTTTGCGCTAACGCCTTGGGTCGACGAGACCAACGCAAACTCATCGTGGCAAGGGCAATCGCGGATGTACGAATCGAATTTCACCTGTGTACAGCCGACATTGGACCCTTTTGAAGATCCAGACTTTGGTCCCATAGGGTATAACGTCACGAATAACGATGGAAAGTCAGCTCTATTCATGTACCGCCCGGGTGGCTTCAACGACTCGGACGGGATTTTACAAAATACCTACGGAAACATCTCAGAAGGGGTTGTGTTCAGTGTCAATGATTCCGTCAGCACCGCCAGCATAGCTTGGGCTATGAAGGAGGTCTCGGGATCAGGCGAGGAGACTGTATTGGGGTATCTCCACATTATCGGGGCCCAGGATCCTAATCATGAGTATGAGGCTGCTGTGAACTTGAACGGTGATGATTGGACAGCGCTCTGGTGCGAGCCAACCTACTGGCAGCAGGATGTGGAGGCCACCGTCTTGATGCCCTCGGGAGAGGTGGTGTCGGCTAAGCGTACTGGCGAGGCGGTCGTGCTTGATAACGCAATCACGCGTCGGTTTGGAAAGGTGATGCTGCTGGGCTCCTTGGGCGATTCACCGAATTACGACAACATTACCCTCCGTGAGATGAGCGAGATCCCCGTGCGCTTTGGTGCAGATACGAGGGATCTTCCTGCAGTTCAAACCCACATAAGACCGGGTGTAGAAGCAGCTGTAAGAGGGGCTAAACTATACAGGGGAGGTACCAAGTACAAGCAGTTGGATACGCTAAGGCACCTTTCCGCGCACGTGTTCATCACCATCAGCGATAAGGAGACCGACAAGAGGTTTTGGAGAGATCCAAAGATGATGGCACAGTACTACGAGCAGAAGTGGAAGACCATGTTCGCATTCGCCATGACGCAGCAGATGATTCCTACTGATGGGAAGGGTTCCAGGAGCGTCATCATCTCCAAGCCCATTTCAGGATGGAGAGTAAGTCCGGCGTGGGGAAGAGCCACTCAGGCGTCTTTTGGACTACTTGCAGTACTGGTTCTGGGACTGGTGATGATGGGTATCTGGCAGGGGGGGCGGCGTATTGAACTTGATGGAGAACCTAATAGTCTTTCCAACGCGATGGGAATGCTAGATGGGAGTGGCAAAGGAATATCTGACCTGTTTCATGGCCTCGAATATTCCGGCCCAACGAAAGTTGCGACATCTCTGGAGCAGCGTGGACATAAGTATAAATTGACGCTTGTGGAAGAGGTAGGACCAAGGCTAGAGATCCTACCGCGAGGCGGGGATAACAGCAAGCCAACCTCCACCGCCGAAGGAAATCTTGGTTCCAAATCACAGAGTGCGATCTCATCCTCGACAGCTTCCAAAGAGCCCAGCGGTGTACAGAGCCCTCTTTTGCCATCCTTAGACCCCTCGTGTCCTAGAGAGACTTTCAAGCCTGAGAAGAACTGGATCCTTCTCCGCCCAGTGGGACTGTTTTTGATCCTTTTTTTCTGTTCCGTAACTGGGGCTATGGTTTTTCTCTATGTCTATGACATCAACCACCAAGGTATGTAGAGCAGATTTTTGTTTGTAGTGCCTCGGCTCTTGGGCCATTCTCGCTTTCGGGAGCTGACTAGCTACGGTTCGATTTCAGGGCTCCCCACCGTCTACCCCATTGACTCATTCGGATTCAAGTTGATATACTCATACATCCCCACTGTGCTCGCCACTGGTATTGAGCCCATCATGATTGCCCTGGGTACATACCATTGCATGGTTGCACCTTATAAACGTCTTAGCCGCCCAAAGAACAGGGCTGATACTTCCCTGGCCCTCAGCCTGGACTTTGATCGCTCACCACCGCAGTTTCAGCTCCTGCGAGCCATTAGATCTCGGGATGCGCAAGTTGGAGCCCTTGCCTTAGCTATCCTTGTGGTGAACCTCCTGGCGATAACCTTTGGGTCTCTATTCTTTGTCTCGACGGACGCAGTACGCACTTCGGAAGTGCCAGTAACGGTTTGGGACATGCCCAAGTCTCTGGAAAGGTTCCCAGCCCTTGCTGGTGACGTTTACCTTAGTCTATCGGCAACTCTGTCCAACAAGACCGGAAACAGATACACCCAAGACAACCCCCTGTTCTACATACCTCCAATGTCCTTCGACAACGGTCAGAGCTACGATCCCAGAAAACAATACGCATTGGAACAGCTCACCCACAGCCAGGCCCCCGCTGGTGAGATAGAATGGAGTTCTCTTGTATTTGGAAGCGATGTGAAATGCGTCCTTATTCCCCAGGAAGCCATACGGTCGTCGTGTACTAACGGCATGCTCGAAACTATCAGTTGCGGGGAGCCGCTGCCATCTAATATCAGTGGGACCTTTACTGCACAAGTAGAAGTCGCCTTTTCGGGCGGAGAGGTATCATGGGGAAGGGGCACGCCCGACAAGTGGTATTTCAGTGGCATGAGCACTGATGCTTTTGTCTATTTAAATACGCTTACCGCTTCCTCTTTTCTGGTAGGGTGGTCTGAAATGCCAGCCGACCCTAAGCCCAGAAGTGACGTTTTCCCTTCCACCCAGCTCCCCAGGATAGATACCGTTGCCTTGTACTGTGATTCACACTTCAAGGTTGGATCGGTTACTGCCTCATTGAACACTGCCAACGGGGTCATTAAAACCTCCGATGTCGTGTTTCCTCTTCAGTACGAAAACAACGGCTCCGCCATTGAGATGATCCTTGGCTTTCATGTTGACATCGAGCACGGCGAAGGCAAAAACTACTGGGCCCTTATCGATGGGGATAGAAGTCTCATGTGGTTTAACTTGATCATGGCAAGGTTATACCCAAACCTTGTTAGAACTAACCTGGTTAACGATACTCACATCCCCTCTACCGATCAACTCGTTGAAGCCTTCGAAAACGTCTATAACCGTCTGTTTGCGCAGAGTCTGCAAATGTACAGTGATAACGTCTTTGCGAATGTCACGACTAAGGATATCACCGCTGTGTTCCGGACGAAAGAGCCCCGTGTGAGAGTTTCCACAAGCATGTTTATCGTATCCTGCGCGGTGATGTTCTACCTCATCCTGGTACTTTTGGCGTTATACTGCACGCCCCAGGCAAACGATTACTACCAGAACTACGTACCGACAAGTTTGGCGTTGATGTGGACATTGTTATATGCGAGTACCGCCAAGGATGACTGCGCACAGCTTCGGGGTAGCAATCCGGAGGAGCGCGCAAGGCAGTTAGTAGAGCTGGGAAATACGTATTCCTTAGGGGAGTTCTTGGGAAATGACGGTCGAACTCATTGGGGTGTTTCTAAGGCGGTGAAGCCAAAGGATACTTTTACAGACGCGAAAAAGGGTTGAGATACAGATTATTTATGTATATAGGCGAAAAGAAGATTTGATTATTTTGGATATTCCTTTTATCATTTGTCATAATGTCCGTATGGAACAATCTTCCCTTTGTGTCAACTCGGATGTAGGCTATAATTATTAGAGCCCCGTGAGAAACTCGGGAGTTTTAAACTGAATGTATGACAGACAGTTTTAAACTGGTTAAAAACTGGCTGTCGAAAACCTGGGTGTCATGGTCATAAACTCAACAGCCATTTTGGGAGTGGGCTAGGGTAATTTTAGGGCAAAAATTGGTATTTAGGGTGGGTTAGGGTAATTTGGGTGGTCAAAATTAGAAAATTGAGTCTGAGTTTATGACAGTTTTCAGTTAAAAACAGCAGTTTATGACAGTCCGAGTTTATGACGCAGTTTATAACTCCAGCTCTGAGTTTGTCACGGGGCCCTAATAATTATATAGGCCTGGTAGCATGACAGTTAATTGCTGTGTCTCTAGACTGCTATCAGATCACTGTTCTTCCAGGTATATTTAACGTTTTCAAAAATATTTATAGTTCACAAAGCCGTTTCCGCCCAACCCAGTAAGGATAGGAGCATGTGAAGTCTCACCTACTACCCATCCTCTAAACTATTATGTAGTGTTCTTCACTCTCATTAGAGTTTTCCATAGGTTCCAGGTTGCATATCATCAGACAAAGAACTACTCCCGAGATGGAAGGGAACTGTCATTAAAAACGTGCTGTCACTACAGTGGCCATGGATGGATATAAAAGAAACACTGATAGAACTACAGCAATATCTTTATATATCATCTTGAGATTCCCCAGATACTTTTTTGTCAACTACGTACTACGTACAAAGTCAGCGGACAAAAAAGAGTCAGCTCAGTCTAGATATATCCGATAAATTCATTACTATAAACACCCCCAAGTACCCACGGGCGTGTTGATATATGCTATGATATGGTGGCTAGGTCAAGATACGGTGACCTAACCTGTCAGGCGAAGTTTGCTGATCCAGCTTCGAAGGTCTTTGCATATATGTGACCGCAAAAAGACCATAAGTTATAGGCAAATGGCTAGTAATCCAGTTTATTAAGGCGCCAGGTCAAAACGCTTCATGTAATATCACTCGACCCAATATTCATCCCCACATATATCCCCCTGAACACAATTATCGTTCTCTAGTATAATATTATATTTAGGCTGATCATTAGAAAACAGCTGCAGTCAGTCAGATAATCAAGCCAACGGGCCGCGTCAATCGAGCAATTCTAGTGAATTGGATCCATGTATAACTGCGGACCATGAGAGATCTTCAGTCTAGAATGCATGTCTAACCATAAACTGGCCATCTTTATTCCTTTGCGGTTTATGCTCCCCCTGAGCTCGATATATAAGCACAGGCCTACAATATAGCTCGATCATAGTGTAAGAAAAGAATCTAGGTTTAGTCTCGTGTGGTCCACTAGTATTGAAGCTCAAGGCCTCGAGAGAGCTCAAGACATTATAGGGATTCGATCGCGAGGTGACCATACTCGAGGCAAACCCTTTTGCTCGCCTCGAGCTACTTGAGGTTTGGGTAACGTATTATATAGTATTAATTAGTGGCATGTTTCCAGTGTAATTGATACTTCTCAAGTACGTACATGAACAGCCTAGGAGGTATTCCTACATTATACAAGTAGTTTCCGGCCTTCGGCCGGTACTATATGTATATCAATCAGTCCCATATACAGGCAAGCCGCTTTGCGGCTTATTTGTCTATTTGCCTGGCAGGCAAAGTCCATCACTATATCTAGATCTGATCTGGTCAATATGTGACTTTTCTGATATATTATCCCCATATATCAATGGATAAGTCAGACAATTTCTCCAGTTAAAACTACAGGTATATCCCTTTAACAGCTACCAAACCGCTAAAATCGAACCACTATCGATTCCCAGAACCAGTAGAAACCCTATTAACACTCTAACACCACTCAGCACAATACCCTATGTTAATATCCAACACAACATGTTTCAAGTGAAACAAAAACATCTCTCAATGAACCAATCAGAAGACTATAAAAGCACATTGCATATGCAGGTTATAATTATATACTTATTAGATATACCATTGCTCCCAGGTTCCCAGGTTCCCTATACGAGATCAATGTATTTTTAACTCCCTTAGATTTTATACCAGTATTACACTAAAAAGTAAAGCTTGATAATTCTAAATCTAATAGCTATGTACTTCGATCGCGTAGCTTGGTTGCCTCGAGATTGGGACACCTCCCCCCGCATGGGCAACAAATTAAAGGAATGCATAGATTATACAATACAGAGGTACCTCAAGGCACTCGTCTCTGAGCAGTCTCGTGGACTCCCCTAGTTCAACTTCAAAATTATGTATTTCTCTCCTTCACTATCTATACAAATCCCTTCCTTAGTGTAGTAGGTGAAACACCGGCCACTTGTATACTTATCACTTCGAGATCGACATATATGATATGATTGACCGCACTGGACTATGGCTCTGACTAATATTTAGGGCGATCGGTATCTAGGAGGATAAGTAGTACAGAGGACCGCATACTTACTATACGCTAAACAAATTTGTTAGAATTTAAATCCAGTATCTCCATCCTTAATTAATTCTGATAGCTAGGCCGGCTGAGCCTTTAATTGTAAAATAAATACTTAAGATGGATATTTATTCAAACCCTATCAGCCTGGTATAGTGTGAAATAGACTAACTACCCGACTATAAGCTATATCACATGACAATTATAATTATCATGTTGAGTCTCTCTATGTCGCAATCGCGATTCGCGCCCACTGCTCTATCGCAATTTCTTTAATAGGGTTAGGGTTATGCATTCATGAAGATATCGGTGTACTTACTTAATGTACTTAAGGTAAAGTCGTCTAATTTCCCACATTACGACGTACTAATCTCAATGACACATTTCCACACGACCCCTCGGCGGAAAAATCGACACATTTACCGACAATTCAACTGCGGCTCGTTTAACCTCCAGAAGGCTACATCTATTAGAGACAGACCTCGCGGTAGTACTAGGTCAATACCTGTAGTAGAGGGAGTTTTCACTATCCCCAATTTGCTAAATCTTAATTCCGGGTGAGGAAAGGTATGCACCTGCATGAGTCCGTGAAGTTTGATACGCCGATTCGCTTTGGTTCGGACTTACCACATACAAACATACAAACATACAAATATGGGGATAGTGGAGTTTTCGAGAATTAACGGTAGTAGTAGTGGTAGTAGTAGTAGTGTAGTAGCAATAGGAGAGAGTTCAGCTTATAATCAATCTTCATTTCGTTCGATCCAGTATGGGGACGGCTGCCTCCCTGAGGGGTTTTTCTCGCTTGATCCATCTAGGGAGCCAGTAATGATGTGGGCGGCTTTATTATAGAGGGGTGAAAGTGATCGTAATATGTCGTCTGCGCCTGACCACCAGGCCTCTGAGCCCATAGTAGGGGCGGGAGGAATGCTTGTGTTACCAGGTCACGGTAGTTGATTATTTTGGCGGTTGATCATGGGAGTAGAGGGATAATTCGCATTTCGTGGAGAGCCTTCGGTCCTTTCAATACTGTTGGTCGGGATGAGAGGGTAGGGTCTAGAGAAACACCAATGTATTTTAGTTGGTCACCCGGTCGGACCTGAAGTCCTGAAATGGACACTATATCGTTAGGTTACTGTAGTTTTGATATCATTAGCCTAAACAAAATAAAACCTTACTCCCGAGATTCGTATTTGACATTGAGAGGCTTGGCTTGAGTAATGCGTTCTGTAATTGTTCCGTTCAGTTTTTTCGTAATTAAGTTGGGTTTGTTTGATAATTTAATTATTCCATTGTCATCGATAATTGAGGTATTGATTTCTTTTTTGTACATAGGGGGGTCGAGAATTAACTGCGTAAATTGTAAAGATTATTGGGGAAAGGTTAGAGTTTTGTTTCAGGCATGAGTCGTAGGGTATAAGGTTTTCCAGCTTTTGATTGCAGAAGAATTTGAACTTCTTACTTATCTTGAACTTCTTACACTGGTCAGTGGGTTTTATAGATTGTTTTGTTATAACGTTGGGTTCGAATAGTTGGATTAGTCAAGAGTACTCTACCAAGGCAGGAAATGCATCAATTGATGCATTTCCCATACGAAAGCGGCTTGCAAATGCATCAGTTGATGCATAAGCTTGTCAAGGCCTCAATAAATGCATCAGGCTACACATTTGCTGACGATTTTACCTACACCTTTACCTACTGTCGACGATTTTACCTATACCTTTCCCTACAACTTTCCTGGGGAACATTGTCAATCAGTAGGGAAAGGTGTAGGTAAGATCATCGACAGTATTTACTTAGTAGGGAAAGGTATAGGTAAAATCGTCGATAGTAGGGAAAGGTGTAGGTAAAATCGTCGACAGTAGGTAAAGGTGTAGTAGGGAAAATCGTCGGACCGCGAATACTACTAGTACTAGTACTGTTCTTGGTATTTCTTGTCTCTACTGATTATTGACTTAGATATTCTTGGATCTCCAGTTCGGCTACATATACCCATTGAGTCAGCTTATACGTATTGCTTGTACTAGTAAGTGCTATATATTGAACAGATATAATGGTACAGGTGGTAAGCTCCAAGTCTAAGCTAGATAATCGGAAGGATTCAGGTTCAATCCCTCCACATTCATTTGTTTTGCATCAGGGCAAGAGTGTTCTTTGGTATGATGCATTTACTAATCTCTTTACCGATTCCTTTACTGATGCCTTTACTGATGTCTTTACTGATTCCTTTACTAATGCATTTCAACCCACTGGCATGATTCAGAAATCCGGCACTGTTTGCATTTCTATTTTCCTGATATAAGTATTTCCCGAACTCTTGGCAAAACGAGACTGTGATGCATTAAGGATGCATTGGTTGATGCATTAGTTGATCCATTATCCACACGTTTTAGGAACAAGGCTTGATAAATTGACTGACGACTTTCACTGATGCATTTATGAT